CACACGAACAAATGGGCCCATTGTCAAGATTTTGCTCTCCTATGGTTTGTCATGGAAACCTGTCAGAGTTGGGACAGTCCTTCAGGTATAGAGCTGCCATGAAGCATAGGATGCCCAGCTGAGTTTAGATAAACCACCGAAATAAATTTAGATAAACCGCAGAACTATTTTTAGAGGACGTCTCATGCAATGTTTGGGATATACCTGCACCAAAGAAATTAAATTATTGGTTTATCTGAAATTCAAGTTTCCCTGGACATCCCATATTTTTATTTGCTAAATGTGGGAGTGCTGTTTAGACAGGGTTGCCTTAAATTAGGTCTGAAAGTTGCTTGCCTTCTAAATAGCTATCTCAAGGGGGTCTGGTTTGCTTCTCACTGCCGACAGGAGTTCTCAGGGAAAGCGACGTGTGGACTGGATGGTGGGTCAGACCTGAGCGTGCACAGGAAGCACCCACCCAGGGTGCATGTGTACTCACAGGGCACGCCCGTCCCCAGAGAGGCCTTGCATAGGGCGCCCAGAGGCGTGTCCCCCACCCTTTGAAATATGTGGGGAACACAGTTTCTTGGTTTAGATAAACCAATGTCTCTGTGCTCTGATTTCAATCATATGACCCAGTATCAACGCTTCTATTAGCCTTGGGTGGTAATTACTCATCTATTTCTAGGTAAATATTCCAGGCGAGGAGTGCTAATAATTTAAGCAACCTTTGAAACTATTCTGACGTTTCCTTGGAGGAGGAGTCTGAGGAACTCGTGTCTGCGGATGAGCAACATGTTGGCAAACTGTGAGGATGGGAAATTGGGCGTTGGCGCAGGGATGAGTGAGAAGGGGCAGCTCTGTGGAACCAATGAGCAGGCAGACAAGAAACAGACATATGTGTGTGGAGGGTCATAATGTGTGACCAACGTGACCGTGCAGATCAGGCAGAGGGGAAGACTGGGTATGAAATGGGCCTGGGCGAACTGGTCAACCATTGGGGTTGGGGGTGGGGTGTCAATCCATAGCCTCATCTCTTCCTGACCCCCAAAATAAATGTCAGATAGATGAGAGGGTAACGCATCAAGTGAGACCAGAAATTAGAATAAAACATGAACAGATGTTTTTTCAGTCTTGATAGAGGGTGAAGGCAATTATCAAGCTTAAAATTATGACCCAAAAAGAAAACTTCAGTACGCTTGACTGCATTGACTTAAACTTCTGAGAATCAAAAATATAAGTAAATCTGGAGACAAACAAGGTGGGAAAGTATTTGCTACAAGTATGACCAGGCTCCATTTCCTACCACAGAAGGAACTCATCCTGGGATAGTTATGGAGCAGTTTGGGGGTTCCAAATAAGTTAGGCCCTGCTTTGTGCTTCACACTGTAAGCAGACCCCTCCCCAGCAATCCCTAAGGGGTGACTGAACCCGTTTCACAAATGGCCAGTGACTCGGCAAGGCCAGTTACCGAGTGGGGGGCTGAGGCACCTTATGGAAAGGACTGGAAAGCCCACGTGCCCTCAGGCACTCATCCAGCAGGTCTGTCAGGAGAGCCCAGGAGAACAAGGACAAAGAGCTAATGAGCAGATGACAAAATGTTCAGCCTCAGTATGTAAGACCTGCTTGTGAAAACCACAGGGTGAGGCCACTGCTTACCTCTGGGACTGGCAAGACAAAAATTCCAGAAAAATCAGTCACCGTCCTGGCCGCCCAGATATTATGAAATGGGCAATTCTCCTGTATTTAGGGCGGAAGGATAAAACTGTGTGAGCAGGTTGACAGTATGTATCTCAACTCTTAAAAATACACAGGTGACTTTTGGTCTACTCATTCTATTTCTAGGGATCCTAAGTGAATAATCAGAAATATGTACAAAGTTTTATGCACAAAGGTATTTATTCGATCTTTACTGGTGCTCTCTGAAATTTGCAAATGACTGAAAGTGTCTCCTAGAGCAGTTTAGAATCTGGAAAATATTTACCAAGGTTTTACAATAACCTCTTACAATGTTAATTGGAGGAGAAAAAAAAGCAAAGCACAAAAGTGTTCACACCATATGATTTCAACAGCATCGAGTGCATGAGAATGCTAAGAAGTTACCCTACTGTCATAGGATTTAGGCTCATTTTCATATCTGCTCCATATTTCCAAAAATATAAACAGTTTGTTTTAAAATTCCCAAAAAATAAAGAGGTGTTTTAAAAGAGGTAGATGGTAGAGAGCCATCTGGAAGAAACACTGGATGGACAAATGTTGGCTGTGGGGCTGTGGAGACTAGATGGGGAAACCCAGTTGAAGGAGACCCCACTAAATTTGGGGGGCTGGGGTACCACCTTCTTCAATAGCCTTCATCGCCCAGCTCTGTGTGTTAGCACCTTGGTGGGGTCTTGGTGGTGTTCCTCCCGTCTCCCAGGCACCATGTCCTCCAAACCAATGTCTTCCTCTTTCCTCATCAAAAACTGACATTCTTGGAAACCTGTCTGTTCACCGATAGGGTCTTGATGACAGAAACCGTGTTACACATACTTTAGGGAGTATGCTAGAGTTAACGAAAATGCTGAGGGAGAGTATTTGTTGCCATGGAAAATTCCAGAAAGATAAATTAAAACACAATAATATGGGTCATATGGTTATGGTTCCATTTTTTTAAAAAAAATCAGGATCATTTATAACTCCCAAGTGACTCAACTATACCATGTGTACTCTCCATAAATAATTCAGACAATGTACACATATACACACGGTGTGTGTGCACGTTTTTTGGGGGTTTTTTTTCCTCCCTGAAAGCACAGACCAAAACAGATAGGACAAACATCCCTGGGTGAGAGTCTACAGTTTCCTTTTTATTTTTTTTCTTTATACTTTATTTTGATATCTGGATTTTTCGCGATTAGCACGTATTACATCTATGATTAAAAACAAAAAGAAGCTATTTCTTTTGAAGGAAGAGCAAAGAGAAGAGAAGCATGTGAAAACACCTGGGGAGGCCGAGGGCTTTGTTTGCGCTCCCCAGGAAGCTGTGAATGGGGCTGCCAGCGACTTCCTTCCTCCTGAGTGGCGGAAGCGGGTGCCTGGCCCTGCTGGACTCTGTCCCCAGCGCTCCCCCACCAGACCCACGCCTGTTCGCTGCAGGCTGAGGTCTCCCAGCAAAGCAGTCCTGCCACCCCTTTCTACACCAACAGGCGAAGGCTCTGACACGGAAGCCACTGGCCAGGGAGCCTTCAGGCCCCCGAGCGCCTTGTTGAGATAAATCTGCTTTCTAAAATGAGTTTCTTGGGCAGCCTGGGTGGGAAGGAGCGAGGCCTCTGAGGCCGGCAGCCTGGGTCCCTGGCCCAGGGCTGCCCCTTGCCAGCTGGTGGGGTGGGGGGGGACATTTCCTTGCCTTAGTGTTCTCATGTGTGCGAGGAGGGCCCAGCAGGGCAGAATCAGCTGTCGTGTCGCTCATATGCGCGTGGAATGTCCCACCTGTGGCAGGTCCCTTTGCAGAGGCAGGGATGGGGTTGCAGGGATAGGACTGTGTGCTAGTTTCATGACAGTCATCCACTTAAGGACGGTCCAAACCTGTAGAGAACTTGAATGAGTTTATCTGAGCCAAACTGACAACAATTGCTGAGAAGGAAAAACTCAACAGATTGAGAAAATGCTCCGGAGCGTGGCAGTTTTGCAGCTTATATTCTACATTAGAATCAAAGGAGGAGACAAAGCGGGGTTCCATGGAATCTGTGGGTGGTAGGTTAAGGGGGTGGGAGAAAGCAGAGTTGGGGAGTCTCTGGGATTGAATAAAAAGTAAAATAGAGAGACTCATACTGCTGTTACACTGGTGGGCACACCAAGTTAGTAATTAACGTTTACAGCACAGAGAGATGGTATGCAGGGGACGAGATAAGCGGGCTTCTGCGGGTCTGTGCTTTGGTGCCTGAGCTGTGCCTTGAGGGGTCTACAAACGGAGATTACTCTGACATTCCAAGGGCGTGTTATCTTAGATGCAAAAAGACAAAAGATAAACTCACTTCAGGTAAAGACTGACCTTTGTCAAGGAAGCTACAGGCCTACGTGACTACCAGCCACAACCTGCTTTTAGTTAGGAATTTGTATGTTCAGACCACCCTCTGGGGTTACTCTCGGTCTCTGAGTTTATAAGGCCCTCCACGCAGCACCCCCCCTCCTCGCGCCTGTCAGCTTTAGTGTGTGACCCCGTCTTTGTCCACACAATGTATTATTAGTAGTAATAGATTTCCCTCGCAGTCCTTACACTTTTGGTACAGTTCTAAAATCTTTCTAATTGCAGAGGTAATACATGTGCATTATAAACATTTCAAAGACTTCTTAAATATGTGCGAGAAAGCCGGTATCTCTGCAGCCCGGATGAATCACTGCTAATATTTTGTTATTAATATTCAGCACGTCAATACTAAAAGGCCCACTTTGCTTTCCCACATTTTGATGAATCTTTCAGTGCCTTGATTATAATCCCGTGGAGGTGTTTTTCTAGAGTTGTGGGCTTGGTCGTCACATTGCTGTTATAGTTTTTGCCTAAAATTTCCATCCTCATCCTGATGTCTGAAAAATTTCATTGAACTCTTTCTGCCTTTGGAGGGGACCCGTCATTAACAGCCTCTGGATGTGTCTGTACCAGGTAACAGACGGTCAGGGGTTGAGTACCAGTAATCATTACGGAAAGGCCGTGTGCTCCGTGGAATGCTAATCATTTATATTTGTTGCTCAAATCCAACAGTTGACAATAATTCTTCTTGAATTGCTATTCAGAGAGAGAAATTTAAGCCAAAAAGCCAGGAGTGACTGCTCTTCCAACTCCCTGCCAAGCAGGTTGCACCTTTTCACGGTTATTGTCCCCCTTACAGCATATTTTAAACAACTGTCATTTAAAACTAAAAAGGCAAAGAAATGGAAAGGAAGTGGGGGGCTGGGGGAGAAAGGGGGTGCTGGGGATGGTGGCTGCCACAGGCAAGTGTGAGATGTGTCTTTTCACCAGAGCCCTCTGCTCCTGTCTCCCCTAGGACCAGGCAGAGCAGACATCTGCTCAGGGCACCGGAGACCTGGCAGCACCCAGACCCCCAGCCCAGCCTGGCCGGCTCAGGAGTCACCAAGGTAAGGATGACAACGACATGGGGCCCCGATGCCGTTCTGCCCAACTTCAGCTTCGCAACAATGCTAGCTAGGACTTCGCATTCTGAGGAATTGTCCTTGTTACTAATATAAGAAGATTCTTTCTAACCTTTTTCCCCTGGAAGGAAACCAAATTCTAAAGCAGAGACAAAAATGCTTGGGTTGAGATCTTCATATATTTCCTTGCATTGTACTGACTCCAAGGAGCAAAACTTCAAAATCGATTTCATATGAGTCCACCCAGGATTCCACTTAAAGGCAACTTGATAAATACCGAGGGCTTCCCCGGGGTGACCGTCTCGTGATCGTGGTGTGTTTGTATTTCCACTTAGCTCATTTTACGTGTGTACCCTTGGTAATTCTCTACCTGTCTATGGTTCCTTCTATCCCTCTTGGTAATTTCTGATAGGCCATCATGGGAAAGATAGGAATGGGACTGAAAGGGCCAAGGGTTGGGAAATTAGGTGTAATGAATGCCAGTTCTGATGGAGGATGGGGGAACCCAGCAAGAGAGCTGGTCTCTGCTCAGGAGATGGAACAGGAAAAATGCACGAGGCTGGGTGTTTGGATTATCGGAGAGTTTAAGTACAAGAAATTGAAGGGTTTGAACTGGCAGGGATTAGAATAATTAGATTTTTTAAATTGCATAATGAGAAAGGATGAAATTTAGCAGAAATAAAAGCTGGGAGCTGACTACGAAGTCGGAGACGCTTTCTCAGGTCCTAGAGAACGTACTTTGGTAAAAGCAGTCAGGGTTTTGTGTGTCAGGCATAATTTTAGGGTCATCGCTTAGAAAACTTTCAAATGAGATGACGCAAGGGAAAGAGGACGGATTTGTTAATATTGGCTTTGAAACCTAGGAAAATCTTAATGTATGACATTTCACTGCTTACCAATGGTCTCGTTTAAATGAAAATAATCCAAGTGTTGGTACTAATGTTCATATAAAATCTACGTTAATACTTCAATCAGAAAGTTAGAAAAAAGACTGCACTGAAAGGACTTTTTAAATTCACCTTCCCCCTTATCCTGTGACTTTCAGTTGTACATTCAAATGTCACATACATACCATGCCTGCCCGGGGGGAGCCCTGAAGGGGACCATGTGTAAAAGAGATGGGACGGGCCTCGTGTGAGAGAGAGCTGAGTCTCTTTCCTGAAGGAGCTGCCCAGCAGGCCACGCGATGAGCCCCAGCCCCTGAAGCGGGGCCCAGAATGCATGGCCTGCCTCCACGGTGAACTCCGCTTCCCAGGAAGGCCACGCTTGGAGCACACCCACCATGGTGACCACCTCCCCTCCAACCCCCAATAATTCCACGCACAGCGTATATGAAACAGGAAGGCCTAGGGCCTCCGCCTGGCTCGGACACAGGACAGACACGCCCACAGAACAGCCAGCAGAGCCAGTGCCGGGGGGCCCACCGGGCTGCGGGTCCCAGGGCAGCACCGATGGCCGTTTGGGGCGCAGGGGATAGTGAGGGCCAGTGTGTGCAGCCGGGAGCTGGGGTGGAGCCGCTCTGCTCCTGAGACCCTGGGAAGCAGTGTGCCTGAGCCAGGCAGCCGGGCACAGCTGTCGCCGGCCTGAGCCTCACGGCCCTCTGCGAGGGAGCAGCCCCACCGCCCTGCGCCACGGCTCGCTCACAGGGGCGGGAGGAGGGGAGGGCGGGCAGGCAGAACAAAGCACAGCCACCCCAAATGAGCCTGCAAACCTACATTCCCAGGCATGTAATGCATTCTCCTACCATGAAATACAGCCAGCAGAGTCAACAGATGCCAGTTTACATACGCAGCAAAGATAAGTCTGACAAAGTGTGTTTGTAATGCTCAGGGAGACGAATGACAGAATAATGTCTGTAAAGGAGGACAAAGAAATAGGACACACAGTGGGAAGAAATTAAGTAAGAACAGGTGGGTGTGAGAAAGAGTCCCCTAGAAATTTGGGAAAGGAAATATTTAGTTACTGGCATTTAAAAATTCAGCCTAAAGAGAATTAATGAGCTGGAGTCACCTCCCTCCGGCACAGAGAGACATGGGGAACCATGAATGGCCCGCTAGAGCAGACACGTGGACAGCCCTGAGGAGAGAGGAGCGGAGGGCATGGCGGTGGGGGAG